AGAATAACAATTGTTATGATATGAAAAATCTTGTAAGTCTATACTCTTTCCTTTCATTCTAATTTGTTGGATTTCTTAAACAAAAAGTCCTTAAAAAAATCTAGAACTTTAAATCAATTTCTTAAGCCCCGTCATAAAATTAAGTTAATAAGAGAAAAAGACCAAAACAACTCTAACTAATGCAAAGCCATCACCCTTATGCGTTGTCATTAATAACCAAATTTTCATTTTTCATAGACATATTTCTGCTGATCAAATGTGAGTTATATTTTTTTCCATTTAACCTATTTAATCATATGATGCAAAGAAAAATATATGACAAAATAAATGTCAATATATAAATATGAATTAGTAACAATAAAAATTAGAAAATTTACAAGAAATATATGAAAATTCACAATATCATTTGAGATTCTATATAGAGAAAAATATTTACAAAAATTACAACAACATATAAGGGAACTAACAACAATAATTAGGCAATTTTGGAAAAACATAAGAAAATTAACGACAACATATGGGGAATTAACAACAAAAATTAGGCGATTTATAAAAAATATTAGAAAATTAATGATAACAGACAATGGAATTAACAACAAAAATTAAGCTTTATGTTTCTTATAAATTGCCTAATTTTTATTGTAAATCCTCTTAAATTAGGCAATTTTTGAAAAAATTATAAGGGAGTAGACGGCAACATATAAGAGAATTACTAACAAAAATTAGGCCTTATGTATATTGCAAATCACCTAATTTTTATTGTAAATACTCTTATATTTATTGTAAATTGCTGAATTTTTGTTGTCAATTCACTTCCATGTCTTGTAAATCAATTAATTTTTGTTGTTAATTTTCTTATGTTTGTTGTAAATTTAATTCCTTTATATGTTGTTGTTAAATTTTTGAACGTTTTTTATGAAACATCTAATTTTCATTGTAAATTTTCTTATTTTAATTGTTTATGTAGATCTTGGCATATATTTTTTTTCTTATAGAACCTTAAATAGTATTGTAAATTTCCTTATATTTCTTGTAAATTTTTTATTTTTTTTGTTAGTCTTCTTATTTCTCATGTTCATTTATATTTAGATATTTGTATTTATTTTGTCTTTTTTTTTTCAGCACATGATTAAATGGATTAGATGGCAAATCACATTTGACCAGTAAAACATGTTTATGAAAGTAAAGATTTGCAAGATTTTGCACATCATAACACTTGTTATTCCACGTATGAGTACTTGTTAAAATGTTTATTAACACTTATAAATTTATTAATAAATACAATGAGCTACAATTTTCAAAATGAGTAAATCAATAATATTAAGTAGGATTAAATAAAAATATTAATGTATTTTTCAAATTGACATATTATGATTATTTAAGCATTACTAATCCTTTCAATTTTAGAGGAGTTTTGGAAAATTTTGTAGGAATAAAAAAATTACAAATATATAAATTAAATGAAATGTAAAATACATAACACACACAAGAATACAACAGTGCGACACAGCAACACCCATTAGGACATTTTGTAAAGATTTCAGACAGTTGGTCTTTTGTTTTTTATTGCTCAATTTTTTTCATTTTTCCTAACTCTTCATTTCAGATTAAGGGTAGTTTAAATATTTTGTTTTCAAACTTATTTTCATTTCAGACTTTAAAATTTGAACTGAGATTTCAGAATTTCTTGGTCCTTCTTTTTAAATAAGATGCTACAATGGTCCTTTACTGAAATTCTCCCGAAAGAAAAAGCCCTCATCCTCTCTTTCCCTTTCATTCTCCGCTCCCTCTCCCTCTCCTCTTTCTTCTCCTTCCTCTTCTTTCTCTCCCAACCCCCCTGCCCCACCCTCTTTCCTCCCTCGACTCCTGCCGCTGAAGAAGAAAATCTAAAATAGTGATGACAGTGTCCTCCTCCCTTCTCTGCTCAAATTTGAACAAGTTGATGTGTTTGGATTTGTAATAGGCCAATTTCAGGTCTTAGACACACTTCATATGATAAAGAAATTTTTGACGACCAAGAGGAATATAGGTTATGTTTGGTAGAAAGCATTGAAAATAAGGGATTGGGATTGAGATTACAATTAAAAAAATCTATTAAAAGAGTGTTTAATATAAGATATTTTCTTATTATATGGGATTAGCCAAACCCATATATATGGGATTGGAGAATACTATGGGGGGAAGTAACGTTCTCCAATCCTACCTCTATGGGTTTACCTAATCCCATATAATAAGCAATTATTTATGCTAAATACTATTTTAATGATTTTTTCAATTGCAATCTCAATCTCAATCCTTCATTTTTAATACTTCGTACCAAACGAGACCATAGGGTTCTAGAGATTGCTTGCAACGGATCCTGGCTCCATTCTTGATTGTGAATGTTTATTTCCACCAAGTCATTGTCATAGAACCATTTTCCTATCTTTACGATATTTCCCTTGCTCGAATGATGTTGCAGTGGAGAAACAACACATAGGGTGCCATTTTATTAGGATTGTTAAGGCTAATTTGATTTTGTTGAATTTATTAATTTGTGGGTATGAATATCATTGGGCATATGAGAAGGGAATACATATGGTTAGCTCAATTAAGCCTGCGTTAGTGACAATGGATTATACGGTCTCTCCATCTTCTATATTTTTTCCTTAAATATAATATAGTAGAGATTCTAGTTCACCCTCCTCATTTCATTGCCATATTTTACCAGTGTGTGGCTGTGGGTTACACTTTATTTCACTATATTGGAGATGAAGTTTATGAAAGTTGTTATTTTTCATACTAAACTTGTTATTGACAATTAAACAACAAAAATAATGCCAATTTTTGTTAAAATACAAGTTAATATCAATAAATTTTCAACACGTATTATTTTCCATAGTAAACTTATCACCAACAACTAGATTATGAAAATAATGCCATTTATGCTAAAACTTAAATTATTGTGAATAGCTTTTCAACACTTGTTATTTCCCATTCTAGACTTGTCATTGGCAACTAAATCATGAAAATGATATCAATGTCTTCTAAAACTTAAGTTACTGTAAATAGCTTTTCAACACTTGTTATTTCCCATACTTGACTTGTCATTGGCAACTAAATTGTGAAAATAATGCCAATTTCTGCTGAACCTTAAGTTCATGTCAATAGCTTTTTAATACTTGTTATTTTCCTTATTAGACTTATAATTGGTAACTAAACTGTGGAAATGATGTCAATTTCTACTAAAACTTAAATTTTGTTAATAGCTTTTTAATATTTGTTATTTTTCATACTAGATTTGTCATTAACAACTAAATTATGAAAATAATATAATTTCTATTAAAACTTAAGTTAATGTCAGTAGCTTTTTAACTCAGATTTTATTCCTCAGTTTTGATCTTAGTGTTTATAAGTGTTCTACTATGAAAGTTATTGGATAACTTTAATGTAACAAGCCATTAGTCAGCAAGTTTGAATATAAAAATTACAAGTACAGTATGTCAAATAACAAGTCTACATAAAAAAATTACAAGTCTGATAAGTGAAATAACAAATCTGAATATGAAAATTATAAGTCTAATAAGTGAAATGACATGTCTGGATATGAAAATTACAAGTTTAGTTAGTAAAATAACAAGTCCAGATATGAAAATTATAAGTCTAGTAAATGAATCAATAATAATTCATTACCAAATAACAACTTACGGTAAAAACATAAGCACTTACATTTTTGTATCATTCATTACTCTAGATTTCCTATCATTTCCTTTGACTGCTATATACAAATGAGCACTACTATCACTATATCGAAACATATTAGAAATATCACTATCATCGTAAAGATCAATCAATATACTCTCGTCAAGCAAGCCTCTCAAGCTGCTACAACAACCTCTATAGCCATTGGAGGAACAACACGGATATTTTTATAAGGCAACTCAAATGAAAGAATTGTGCAAGGAAAACATAATGGCTGTAGTTAGATGTAGCAGAAAGAATCATATCAAATCTGCAATAGAAAATAACAAGTATGTAATAGAAAATAACAAATCTAAAATATGAAATTACAACTTTGAAATAGAGAATTACAAGTTTGTAATAGGAAATAGGGAATTACAAATCTAAAATAGGAGATTACAAGTCCAGTTTGAGAAATAGCAAGTTTTGAAAAGCTATTCATATTAACTTAAATATTACCCGAAATTGGTATTATTTTCACAATTTAGTTGTCAATGACAAGTCTAGTATGAGAAATAATAAGTGTTAAAAAAACTATTCAAATTAACTTAAGTTTTAACAGATATTGGTATTATTTTTACAATTTAGTTGTTAATATCAAGTCTAGTATGAGATAAAAATGTACTGGTAGTCGTTTTGAAGAGAAGAAAAATGTTCCTTAGGTCAAAAAAAAGTGTTGGTAATTCATGAATCATACGTGAGATGAAAGGACAACTGGACAAGAAATAAAATATGAAAGCTGGCAGTGAGCTATCTGATCTTTTTCCTCATTAAAACCATCTGATTGCTTGCAGCTTAACAATCATCTGATTGCATATTATTTTCAGTATTTTATGGAATTGATGCTTTTCATTGTTTTTTTTTTCACAATTTTTTTTTAAAAAAATAGAAATTTATACACACACATGAGAAGCTAACTAAAATATGATAGTGATTGTACATGTTAGGAGTTGAATGAGTGGAATAGTATGTGTTACATATGGGGGAAAAAAACATAATGAGTTTGTTAATGAAGGATCATGTGTGGTACCAATATTGGCGGAAAAATAAAGACATAAAATTTGATTAGACATGTAACATTTGAGTTCCCAAAACATTTGATTAGATACTGAAGTTGTAGATTGTAAAGTCTCCAAGTGTGCTTTGAGTTTTGAGTTTACTTATACACAGAGAAGAGAAGACAAACCAGAATCCACGATTTACAAACATTACAGAGAGCTAAGCAACCGATGCACTATTTACATCCCCCCATAGTTGTTGGGAACTAGCAAAGGCCCTACAGTTTCCAAAAGATTTAAGAAATCTAGTCATATGGTCATAAATATCTCTTTTAGCTTTTAAGCTCAAGATAAAGTCAAAATGACCATAATCTTCAAGCAAAAGATGTTCTGGTGTGGATGGTAGTTCCTTCAGAGTGTGGGCAAAATCAATCATATATGCTAAAGCATCATTTCTTCCATAAGCCATCCATAAAGGTAATGATTTGGGTATGTCACCAAGATTAAATTCTGGCAATTTCAGCTGGCCATATATTCTCAGATTTTTTAGGATTCCATAATCATTCTGACAGAAAGTACCCTTGCGAATCACTGTAAACAAATAAATTCATTAGAGGCAGTGTTGACATAGTTCAATAGTGAACAGGATATTCAAATCAATAGTAAACATAACACGAGAATTCCATTGTGAACAGGTCAGAAGTACTCAAATCGCACCTCAGATTGTACAGAAAAGACTCAACGTGATTGCCATTAAGATAATACGTAGTAGTAATTGGTAAGAAAAAGAGCAATGGTATTAGACTTAGAATTCAAATGACAGTTTTAAGGCTGTTTAAAACTAGAAGCCACACAAATTTCGAGCAGACATAACATGATTGCCACGAGAGGATGCCAAATGGAAAGTAAATGAAGCTTACTTTGGAATAGATGGTGCAAGTTTTTTGAGGATGATGGTTGAGGTTCATATTGAAGATAAAAATCCACACGTAAATTATTGAAGCAGCAATTCCTCCTTGTAATTTTATTTAAGTACCTTATAGAGAAGCACTAAAGAATAAAGAAAGGAAGAAACCAAACAAAATGACAAAATGATATGAGCAATGTAGAATATACCAAAACAGTAACAACCATTGATTACTTAAATTGCCACAATAGTGAATCACTTAGCATTCTTTCTCCATGGTCTTTGACCCAGTAGCTCAAGTGAGTATCATAAATTGTCTTCGTTCAGACACCTCAAATTCAAATGTAGCACACTAGTGATGAGGCAATCTTATGATTAAAAATCAGTGGGTGACCATGATGATTTTAAGCTCTTAATTTGTATCCAAAAACAAATTGTATTATTTAGGTAACAAGAAAAATGTGTTTTTGCATATATCAAAATTGGTAACCCATAACTACTAGACCTACTAAAAATGTGAAAAATGAAAGTACAACACGTTTATTATCGTAAAATGAAAGAAACAGATCATAAGAGCAATATAACATATATAATGGCATGTTGGATACAATAGTATTTAAATTCACCCTTGCAATTAATTTTGCACAAAACGCTACAAACAAATAAACCTTGATCAAAATGCAAAACAAAACTTGAAATTGTAATATTGAGAAGCATACCTTATTCCTCTGCTACTTCCACCCCAATCACAATAGCTTGCAATTAGTTTTTGCAGTTGCCAAACCCCTCTCAAAGCCATTTGATTAATTCAAAAAGAAAAGCTTTTAAGAGGAACCTACATGCTTAAAAAGAGGCCAATACGATTGAAAGCTGACAGTTACGGCGGGCTGACTAATCTTAGCAGATAGTAAGGGTGCTAAATGGTAACACCCTTTTGCCTTTCATAATTCATGAAAGCTGAACTCTAAACTTTTTATTTTAGTATATATTTTATCATACAGTACAAGCGTTATAACCCCTTGCCCTCTCGACATTTCCTCCAGCTAAACCACCCGCCATTCGCATAAACCAATATATGAATTTTGATAGATATTTCAAGTTATATGAAAACCCAAAATACAAATATAAAGCAAAACATAATGCAGGATATGGAAAACCAGCATTTAGAATTATCAATCTAAAAAGCTTCTCTGCCAGAGCCCGTAAACAATACATTGAACCTACCTTTTTCGCAGAAGGTCTTGCAAGAATACAACTCTGGTTTCACTCTGTTTATAATGTAGATATGTATTCGAATTTGCTTAATGGGTCTTTATCAGATGACTTTGGTGGGGATAACTTGAAATACTTAGAACCAGAAATCCAAGGAAGAGGAAGACGAGTCAGGGAGGGAAAATTGAACCCAGAATAATAGTCATTGCCATCCTTGCCATAGCTTATTCACTCATCATTGCCTTCCTTCATTCACTCATCACTATCATCCTTGCCATCACTTATCTCGCTGTCGCCATAAGAAAGGAAGAGGGAGAGCAGTCAGATAGTGAAGAAAGAGAGAGTCGGGCATGACGGCAAAGGATTAGGGAAAGCAAAGGATATTTTTTTCTTTTAATCAACATTTCATAATTTTTAATTAGGACCGGGTCTCTGATAGAAATTATATAAATTCAAGGATTCAAATTACAATTTTATATATTTCAGTGTCTTTATTTGCAATTTTCTCAATGATGTATTTAATTTTGAAAAAAAAGGGAGAAAAAATTCGATGAGATGAAAAATAAATAGAAGATTAAGAATAAAAATTAGTAGCGCTGGCCAAAAAAAATGAAAAGTAGGCATAATAAAACTTTTTGTCTTGAATTTCCCCTCAAGTGATCCCTGAAATTTAATATTTATCAGTTAAGTCTCTAAAATTTTATAGTAATATACAATTAGTTTCTAATAAGATATTGTTTTCCATTTGAACACCGATTAATTATCTATGATTATAAAACTTCAGGGATTTGATTGATAAAAACAAATTTTAAAAAACTAAATTAATAATTGAGGCAAACTTAAGAACAAAAAATTCTATTATTGCTAAAAAAATTAGATTAATTAAATAATATAATAAATATTATCAAGATAGTGAGAATTATCTCTTTATATTTTATAAAGTGGCCAGACAAGTATACAGCCCCATATTCATCTGTTCTAGTCCAATAGACAAGTATGAGGCCTTATACTCGTTTTTTTAGTGTAACCAAACAAACATATTACCCTTTTCTCCTTTGTTTTCAATTTCTAACAAAAATAGGGGATGAAAATGGTTCTTTTTGTAGTAATAAATATTTATTGTAAATCATTTTACCCAAACGACAAAAATTGATTATTATTATTATTAATGAAAACTCATAAAGCCATAACAAATCATCCTAGAATGTAAGAAAAGCCAAAGACTTCATTTAATGGTAACAACTCATCACCCTAGCATAATTATTTAAGGCTAGCATATTTGTGAAGTAACCATTCAATAATATGCACCTTTATGACCAACATGCTTGAAATTTTGCACCATGTTCAAAATTGAGCCCTGTGATCTTTTCCCTGATGAAAAGTCGAAATGGTATTAATAAAAAGTTATAGAGTAGAAAAATAAAAGAGCAGACACAAGATTAAAGTAAAGAGTGAAAATAAGAAGGTTCGACAACATCAATAGAGACAGTAAAGAAAAATTTGAGCAACATAAACTATTATCCTCCAAAATCACGTTTGAGCAGCATGAGGAAGCTGGAGAGACAAAAACTATGAAACGTAAGTTGAGATCGACAAAAGAAAGAAGAATTCCGGAGTTGATAAGCCAGCCGAAAGCTGTGAAGTCTATATCTAGCAATGAAATATGTGGAATATCTTCAATTTAGAAAACCGTAAAACAAAGAATTCATAAGAATGGTCACCATCATATCTCTCGAATTGGCTTGGGTTATAAGTGTAGTTTTGGCTATATTGATTGCATTCCTTGTCCCCTCCTTCCAGCATTCTCAGTACTCCAAAAAATAGGGATAGAGAATCCACATCAAAGAAATAATGATACCTTTTATTATTTAAAATATTGCAGTCAATAATAATGATGAATTAGGTAAAAGAGCATATCGAAAGCACTACAAATAAACATGTGATTAGCAACAAAACTTAGTAATAAAATTTTTATTTAGCAACATATTAGTGACGAAATCTAATTAACGATCAAATTTGTTCCGTCGCTAATTAGCAGCTAAATAGTGAAGAAATGATTCTTTTGCTAATTACTAACAGGGTGACAGAATAGTGACAGAATTCAGTCACTAATTTGATTTTTAAAACAATTGAAATTTCACTTGGCATTGCCACCTCATCGTTGGCCACCACCACGTGTCACTACAACCTCAGTTCCACCGCCACATAATTCTTCCTCAAATGTGACTTCTCCATGACTTGAACTCCTTAGACTTTGTGTGTGCACATGTGTCTTTACTAGTTAGGCTGCAATAAACCTGTAGTCTTTTAATGCAAAATTATATATATATATATATATATATATAGTATTCTTTTACCCATACAATTATAAATATACATATATATTATTAAAAACTACAAATACATTATAAGATAATTTTAATTTTAACTATTAATATGACAAAATAGTTTTTAAATGTTTGTTTTATATTTATTTTATAAGTTTTATTTATTTTAAAAATTATTTTTGCTATAATATTATATTAATTTCAAATGAAACTAATTTTGAATTTTAAATCATAAATATTTTTTCACAAATATATTTTTAAAAATTTAATTTTTATTTTTAATTAACATTGATTAGATATATAGTTTAATTATTTATGCAATATATTATATTATCTATTTTTGCTTTATATATTTGATGAAAATAGTTTATAATTAGTAAAAAAAATATAGTTATGAAAACTATTATAATAAAATCTAATAAATTATTCTATATAAAAAAAATTAAATGATTTGAATAGATTATAATAAATACCCTTATACACCTTATGTGTGCATCCTACATAATTTCTTTTTTAAACAACCTTTTGTATATATCATTGGTCTTTGCTTTGAAAGCCGAAATTAATCTATGTCATGAGTGATTAATTATATCATGATCAAATTCATTGTTTCATGATTCAAATTCAAAATTCTCTTCAACATTAGTTTGATCCATAATCATAAATTGATGTCTCGGTTTTAAATTTCCATCATATATTATATCTTTCAATATACTGTATATAATACAATCATTTAATGACAACACTTAGCAACATAATGAAATTTCCTTGACTAATCCATTGCTAAATTTAGTGACAAAATTTTCATCGGTAATCCATCAGAAATTAGTGACTGAATAATTTTTCATCACTAATTTCATCGATAATGAGCTATTCTTTTGTAGTGGAGAGTGGGATTTGAACCCTTGGTAAACAAAAACCCTACATATCAATTCCAATGCTATGCCTTGAACCACTCGGCCATCTCTCCTCCATAATGATTATGTCCTCAAAAACCGAGTGAACAATGAGTCATTCATGTTATATATATATTTTTTTTGCACAGCTACATACAATTAAATTTAACTATAAAAATAGAAAAACCTATTGAATGACATCAAAGATAGGCAAAATGACATCAGTGTCATAAATTACTCATTTTATTCTGAAGTACAAAGGTCAATCTTTCAAATCCCATGCCTATATTGACATGTTTTGCTAGCAGACGTTTAGGAGACCCATTAGCCTCCCTATCAAGACCTGCAAAATTAATAAAAATATGGTTCAAGTCCTATCTAAAGATACTGTCCTTAAGAGTTATTTTGTCACACAAGATTAGAATAAAAGGCTGCAGTCCTCAAGATTAAATGAACTCTTCTTGCATAGAGTATGGTAGCAAAACAACAAAAACTTGAAACTTAGGAGAAGAGAGAGGGGAGCATAGTTTGGGGATAGAATTCAACACTATCTAACCATGCACCACGCATTGTCTTTTATAGGCAGATAATATGTGATCACAGGGCTGTCATGATGGTAATTAAAGATGGTTTTAATGACAATTCAAAAGGCAGTTTTTAAATAATTGATTAAAATGAATTAAAACATTTTAAGGCCCTTGAATCTGGTTAATGAAAGAATAAAACCGACTAATTAAAATGCAAATGTTTCAACAGTCATATCTAAGGGTCAGTTCTAAAGACTCTTCTTCTTGACCATTTTATTAGCTCAAACTCACATCTTAGTAAACACTAAGGTTTTTTCAGTTTTGAGTAATATGGAACTTCTTTTGACACGCTCATATACTAAAACTCTAACAAGTGAACCGTTAGGAAAAGAGTAAGAAAATAAAAAGACAAGAAAAAGCTTAGTATGCATCATATACATTAACATTTAGCTCATTCAAATACCCCTAAAAATCAAGAGGCATCCAATGTCATAATCTAGAAAATTTTCCACATTTCAAAAATCATCTCTCCAAGCTAAAACCAGCATTCTCACAACAAAACAACCTCTCCACATGCATTAATCTTCCACCTAACATGTTTTCTAGAACTCAATACATATATTGCTCACTTCCTACGATGGAACTAATAACTTAGAGAACTTATTGTATTTATGCTAAAACGGCCTTCAAGGAAGGGGCTATTTATCTCCTAGTGGGATTGATGGAAAAGTTCCAAAATTAAGAAAAAAATTTACATATAATTTTTATGGATATAGAGAAAACTCATTGCAAAAAAAATTGATTTTTAGTGGTGACAGCCAAGTCATTGTCATAGTAACTGTCACTGAAACTTATCAGCGGCGACACAAAAGTTGTCGTTGAAAGTGTCATCGGAGAAAATAGAATCACCGTTGGCCCCCACCGTATCATCGCCGACTAGCCACTTGCCAAGTGTCACCACATCACTCGCCATGCCACCAACAAGATATTATCACCATAAACATAGTCCTTTCATGGTTTGAACTCCTGACCTCCTCCTTCTGCGTCCCTTCTTCTTGCCACTGAGCTAAAATGAATGGTGAAAATTGTTGTAAAATCAAATACATATAATAGTAATAAAATATTTAAATAGATTTTCAATGGCAACCAAAAATTACCGCTGAAACTACCCTTTAGCTATAACATTCCAAATTTTTAAAATTTTGAGTTGTATTTGAGATTAATTAATTATCATTGAAGTTAATCTTAATTACAAGTTAGAATATTAATTAACACATAATAGTTAAATAATAATTAATATATATTTAAAATACATATATATAAATATAATTTATTTTAATATATATATATATAGAGAGAGAGAGAGAGTTTAACAGCGGGTGGCATGTGGCCACCCACTGTTTATCTTGCGGGGGTTTAAAATCCCCCTTTGGCCGTGCGCCTTTCATTTTATTTAAAAAAAAAAAAATTGCAATAGCAAGACATCAAGTGTGGGCACGTGACCCACA